GTGATCGTAGTCTCGCTCCTGAGCCCACAATCTTTTGTTCAACTCTCTCAAGAAAAAATAGGATGTGAAAGCCATGCCTGCCTGTTCAAATTGCTTTATACATACGTCTTATATATATATATATAAATATATACAAATGTAGATATCTGTCATTGCATATACAAATACAGAAGAGATCAAAAAATAGATAATTTTACAGGGTGCTGGAGAAGAGAAAAACATTTAAAAATCTATTTTTGGCAATTTTAGCTTTTGATACTTTACTTGCATTTACAAAATCAGAAAAAATCTAATAAAAAAAGTAGTGTAGGGGGAAAACAGAAAAATGGAGTGGGTGAGGAAAAAAAGTGCTGTTACTTGGATATGATTGGAGCGGAAGACGAAAACCAAAACAGTCATAACCGTTGAAAGGTTAGCGAGAATCAGAGCGAGACCCCTGGAGAGAGTTTTAAAAAGATCAAATCAAAGTGCCTTATCAACAGTGGTTTCTGTTTCCTGAGTATTCCAGTTGTGTTCAATAATATCCAGCACCCACGAGACGGCGCAGAGAGGATGGCTAGTGTTACACGCTCTGAATAGTCGAGCAGGGTAGCTCCCACCGTACCGTGGCGCTACCCGACTTATTCTATGCAAAAAGATTAGCAGTCGTTTTGACCAGCTAAATAATGTGCCATGGTTTTGTCTTCCTGAAATAATTTTTTTGTTTTCCTTTTACTTGATGGCCCTTTACTCTGCTGTATGTGCAGGTTTTGTTCTCTTTTTATTTAGATTTTAACGGTGACTGTGACTAACTTCCTAGAACAAATTGAACTGCCAATAGCAAGCAGTCGTCTGCCAGAACATGTTTTGATCATGAGCCGAGGAAAATACATAACGTTCAAGGTAATGGAAAGGAGGGAGTGTTTCCCCGTTGTTTCAACAGCCGAAAACTGAAAGCGTCCAGTCCGTATCTCCACATGTCAACTTGACAACAAAGTATCAATACAATCATGAGATTTATAATGGACGAGTGAGATGCTGCATAATGAAACGAGCAACTCCATTTCACAGCCAAATAGTTTTCAGTTATTGAAACAACTGACAGTTTATTGCTGGAAGGTGAAATAAACTCATCGAGGAGTTTTCAGATCCCAATATTACCCGTGGCAGTTTGTTTTTCTACTCATAGCTCTTTCATCAAGCTGTTACACCGAAAGGTCAATGAATTATTCTTTTTCAGTGTTATTATTTTAAATTGAAATGCAATATTAAAGTGGAGCAAGTGATGGCTATTCAGCATTTGACAGTATTAAAAAAAATCCCTCTGCAATGTTACAACTTGCTGTGTCATTGTGAAAGGCTGGATAAGTCCATCAGGTGAAAGGTGAACTCTATACCTACCGTATCTCTCTGGCCTGCCTACTACATGTATAATAATGTAATTAACAGCCATTGTTACAGGTTTATAATGTATTTTTCTAATCTCATTTTATATGTATATTAATCATGTTTCTGAGTGCTTTTTTTTTTTTTATGAAACCCACTGCAGCTTTTTTCTTCCCTAAACATCCCCTCTCTTCCTCCCCTCCCCCGTCCTTCTACATCTTGAAAACTGTCTCTTGTGGGGAGTGTTGCCTTTTCCCTGTTATATTTGGTTTTGTTTTCTTGCCAATTCCCAGCTTGTTTAACTCATTAGCTACTTTATTAGTTTCTTGTCATAAGTATTTTTACATGCTTGCATTTAGTTTTCATGGTGTATGCTGTTATTTTTCTTATTAACCTCTTGGCATTTATTTTAATAAAACATTCTTAGTAAGAATTTTACTAACTTGCTGATATTTTGTCTTGTGTTTTTAACCAGTTTCATGAATGTATTACCTTGGTCTGGTTCACGGACTAACACATTAAACCTGGTGTCTGGCCACCACTGACACTGACTGATTGACACGCACAATACATAAAGCCACACACACTAGTAGTCAACTGTGCACATATGCTCAACTACACACACACATGCACACACAACCTAACTGGAAACTGCACGAGTTGATAAGCGTCCTCACTCCCGCTCACGCACTCTCACCTCCGCTGGAGAAATCTGCTGACACTCTTCATACTTCCCGCTCAGTCACACCGCTGCTGTGTGACTCTCTTGTTAGTTGTCCTGTCTTTCTGTGTCACTGACCCCGTGAGACCACAGGAAGTGTCACAGTGTCTGGGAGGAGCTGCCCTGTCCCCATTCTCTCTCTCTAACCGCGCATTATTTAAGTTCAATGGTGATCTTCTGGGTCAGCTCAACAAAGCACATCAGGATTAAAAGGGTGATTTTGTCTGCACACAAATTGTCCACTAGTGTCCTCTAACTCTAAGCATTACTCTGTGCAGGGCTCGTTCTAATCTGTGCTGCATATTAGTCATCTCGTAAGGATTAATTTAACTGTGAATTATGTATAGAGCCTCTCATGAGCACATGTAGATTTAGTGAGTTATTTGCAACAGACACATTGATGAGTTGTGTGATAGCCTAAAGCTGTCCCCAGTCTTTTCTCTCCATGGCTTGTTATGCCTGGATAGCAGCATTACAGTTATCCCCAGCTGTTGCCTGTTTGGTGAGCACTTCTCTCCATTCAGCTTATTGATAGAATGGCTAATACTGGGCCATTTGGGAGCACCCATAATGCTTAGACACACACCAGTACACCATGCCAATATGAAGTACTTTGGGATCAAACAACCTTCCTCTTCCTTCCAGTGTAAAATGCCGATACGGATTTCCACTAGCTAGTATTTATTGTTTTCCGTCTGAAACACTGCCAGTGTGTGTTGTTCATTCTTCTCCTGTGTCAGTGCTCTCGTCCCTGGGTTCACTCAGCTCTCTTGTCTCTATTCAGCTTTTTTCCCCCTCCTCCAC